GGGCTTATGATAGCAAAGTGTGCCCTTGTAGAAAGGCTGTAGTTGACGTGTTTGTAAATACCTGAACAGATGACTCTTCCCCAAACAGATCATTAATCATAATTGATCATGTAATTTCTTGGCTGGAAAAATTTTCAGTGGCTCCAATGCTTTTAAAGAAAGAACAACAAAGAAAAGTCTATTTTGAAATATAGCTTATGTGCAGACAAGTGCCATATCAAAAGTGTAAAATTGGATGAAGTCTCACAAACTGAAAACACACATGGTACTAGCGTCCAGATCAAGAAATAGAATATCAGCAGCACCTCAGACCCTTCTCCCCATTGATAGCCAGTATTCTGACTTCTAATCACACAGATTCGTTTTGCTTTATTGTACTTGATAGACATGGAATCCTACAATATGCCCTCTTTTGTGTTTGGCTTTTGTTCAATAGTGTCTTATAGGCCTTTCATTTTAATTGCTATATTTCATTGTGTAACTATGTTTTTGTTGGTTGTTATGTGCTGTTGAGTTGATTCTGACTCATAGGGACCCACCCCTCACAAGAGTAGCACTCCCCCATAAAGTTTTTTAGGCTGTAATCTTTATCAGAGATTACCAGGTTTTTCTACTGTGAGCAGCTGGGTAGGTTTGAACCACCAACCTTTTAGTTAGCAGCTGAGTGCTTAACCATCGTGCCACCAGGGATTCATGTGCAACTATGTTGTTGTTAAGTGCTGTTGAGTTGGTTCTGACTCATAGCGACCATGTATAGGGATCCCAAGTAGTGGCTAGTGGGTTTGGATTACGGACCTTGCTGTTACCAGCCCAGTGCTTATCTTACATCACCACACTGTGCTGTGTGACTATGCCCCTTTTATGTATTCATTTCTGTTGTCTTTTGAATTGAGTATAAATTGAAGGCCTTCTGTAATAGAGCCTCCTTCACTTCCCACTGCTCCCTATACATGTCCCATACTGAACTTGGCTATCCATCTAGAGACCTCAGGAAGCCGGGGGGCTGGCACTCCTTAAGTACTCTCTTGAACCTGGGGATACAAAGGTGAGTATTATCCAGTGCCTTCCTTTGAGTTCACAGCTGTAGAACAGCAACTCTTCTATTTCTATTTCTGGACTTTTGCTCTTGCTGTTCCCCTGTGTTTGGAATAGTCTCATCCCTCAACCCTCATCCTGCCTTTTGCAGTTTCTTGTGTGTCTCGAGGGGCCTCTCAAACGGCAGTTGCTCCTTAGATTTTTGGCATCCAACCCTCAGTTGCATTCATAATCAGAGAGAACATTTCAAGATCTATCAAGTACCATCCTGTCTGTGAGAGGAAAATATCTATTCACCTACAAGGAAGTCCAGTTAATACAACTGTTACTCAGATTAACGTACCAATCACTAAAGCCAATGATGAAGAAATGGAAGATTTCTATCAAGTTATTCAGTCTGAAAATTGATAAACATGCAGTCAATATACATTGATAGTTACTGGTGACTGGAATGTGAACGTTGGAAACAAAGACGAAGGATCGGTAGTTGGAAAATATGACCTTTGTGATAGAAACCAAGCTGGAGACTACATGACCAAACACTTACTCATTTAAAATACCTTTTTAAATTAGCATAAATGTGACTGTATATGTGGACTTCACCAGATGTAATACACAGAAATCAAATTGACTATATCTGTGGGAAGAGATGATGGAGAAGCTCAATCTCATCAGCCAAAACAAGACAAGGGACCAACTGTGGAATAGACCATCAATTGCTCATATGAAAGTTCAGGTTGCAGTTGAAGAAAATCAAAACAAGTCCACGAGATCCAAAGTATGACCATGAATATATCCCACTGGAAATTAGAGACCATCTCAAGAATAGATTTGATGCATTGAACACTAATGACTGAAGATCACAGGAGTGGTGGGATGACACCAAGAACATTATCCTCAGGTTTCAGATTAGTTTCCAGAAGAAGACACACTAGGAAGAAGGAGAGACAAACTACTGCAGAATATTTAATCACTAAAAACTTTATGAATAGCAGAGAAACACTGTCAGATATAGGGCCAGAAAATGAGCCCCTCAGGTTGGAAGGCACTCAAAATGCGACTGGGGAAGAGCTGCCTGCTCAAAGTAGAGTTGACCGTGATGACATGAATGGAGTAAAGCCCTGGGAGAAAAGCCTTCATTTACTGATGGTCTCAAAATGAAGAGAAACAGCTGCAAACATCCATTAATAATCGAAACATGGAAGGTACGAAGTATGATTCTAGGAAAATTGGAAAATGTTAAAAACAAAATGGAACTCATAAACATCGCTATCTTAGTCATTAGTGAGCTGAAATGGGCTGGTTTTTGCCATTTTGAATCTGTCAGGCACACGGTTTACTCTGCTGGGAATGATAATTTGAAGAGGAGAATGGTGTTGCATTCATTGTCAAAAAGCACATGTCAAGATCAGTCATATGAGGTACAATGCTGTCTGTGATAGGATAACATCCATGCACTTACAGGGATGACCAAGTTAATACCACTATTATTCAAATTTACACACCAACCACTAAAACCAGTGAGGATGAAGTAGAAGAATTCTACCAACTTCTTCAATCTGAAATTGATCAAACATGCAATCAAGATGCATTGGTCATTACTGGTGGTTCGAATGCAAAGGTTGGAAACAAAGAGGAAGGATCAGTGGTTGGAAAATATGGCCTTGATGATAGATATGATGCTGGAGGTCGCATGATAGAATTCTGCAAATCAATGATTTGTTCATTTCAAATACCTTCTTTAGACAGCATGAGAGACAATTATATACATGGACCTCACCAGATGGAATACACAGACTTCATATTGACTACCATCTGTGGAAAGAGATGGTGAAAAAGCTTAATTGTGCTCATGAGGAATCTGTACATGGTCCAAGAGGCAGTTGTTCGAAAGAACATGGGAACACTGAATGATTTAAAATTAAGAAAGATGTACAACAGGGTTATATTCTTTCACCATACTTATTCAACCTGTATGCTGAACAAATAATCCAAGAAGCTGGGTTCTATGAAGAAAAACGTGGCATCAGGATTGGAGGAAAACTCATTAATAACCTGCGATACGCAAATGATAACAACCTTGCTTGCTGAAAGTGAAGAGGACTTAAATTATTTACTGATAAAGATCAAAGAGCACAGCCTTCTGTATGGATTGCATCTCAATGTCAAGAAAACAAAAATCCTCACCACTGGACCAGTAAACAACATTCTTATCAACTGAGAAAAGATTGAAGTTGTCAAAGACGTCATTCTTCTTGGATTAACCATCAACACTCATGGAAGCAGCAGTCAAGAAATCAAACGATGTATTGCATTAGGCAAATCTGCTGCACAAGACCTTTTTAAAGTGTTGAAGATAAAAGATGTCAGCTTGAGGACTAAGGTGCACCTGACCCAAGCCATGGTATTTTCAATAACCTTCTATGCATGTGAAAGCTGGACAGTGAATAAGGAAGACCATAGAAGAATTGATGTATTTGAGTTATGGTGTTGGAGGAGAATATTGAAAGTGCCATGGGCTGCCAAAAGAACCAACAGATATGTGCTGGAAGAAGTGCAGCCAGAGTGTACCTTGGAGGCCATAATGGCCAAACCTCGTCTCTCATGCTTTGGACATATTGTCAGGAGGAACCAGTCACTGGAGAAGGATATCATGTTTGGTAGGGTGGAGAATTAGAGAAAAAGAGGAAGACCTTCACAAGATGGATCAGCAAAGTGACAGCATCAATGGGCTCGATCGTGTCAACAACTGTGAGGTTGGCCCAGGACTGGGCAGTGTTTTGTTCTATTGTGCATAGGATTGCTATGAGTCGGTACCAACTTAGTGACACCTCACAACACCAGTTTAGTGCAGTGACTTATACATAATTTGTGCTCAACAGTTATCAAATTGAATTGGAGGAGAATGGTAACACCACTCTGGAATGGAAACATGGGAGGGAACAGTTTCTTGAGCTTGAGAGGCATTCTTCTCGTCTGGGGATAGGAGGGTGGACAGAGTTGACCAATGGCCAAGAGGAAATGTTTTAGAGAACACTGACCTTTAAGTCACAAGACCTGGGCCTTCTCTATCGATGACATCTATTAACTGTTGCCCTTGAGTGCTATTGAGTCCGTTCTGACTCATAGTGATCCTGAATAGAGTTTCCAAGGCTATAAATATTTTCATTTTCCTCCTGCGGAGCAGCTGGTTGGTTAGAAACACCAATCTTGTGGTTGTCCATCCATAGCCGCCGAGTTCCCTATGAACTAGTTATATGTATGAGTGTTGTAAACTGAGTCTTTTGGTGTGATGCTGTAGGATCAGCATTGGATTGTGAACAAGGCCAGCAATTCAAACCTACCAGCTGATCCTCGGAAACCCTATACAGGGTCACTGTGAGTTGGAAGTGAATCGAGGACACTTAACAACAACACTTCATGAACCATGACACTGTTTGATAGAAGACATGTCAACTTTCCACAGGCTTTGAGACTATAGATGCTATCACAGTCGCCATCCACTCTACACAGCTTTGTTTATTGTATTTCTCTCTGGTGGGAATTCATGGTTAAATTTACTCAAAGACCAAGGGATTGCATCTCTGCCCTATCGGATGTGAACTCCTTGAGGACCAGGACGTTCTTTTCATCTTTGCCTGCCACCCAGGGCTTGGTAGTTGGTGGTTTAAAAATGTTTGTTGAATGAATGACAAAACCCACCTGGCTGTAGCTCAGCTGTTTTGTGAAGTGAGCAATGACTACATTTATATTCATGTGTGACATTTGGCTCCATGCCTCAGATCCTGAGCAGAGGGAAAATCATGAACGAAAGGCTCTTTGTCAGGAGCCCATTGGCTTATTGACTCCCAAGATGGCTGGGTCCCAAATGAATCCAATCCATGAAAGCACAAGGACTAGCAGCAGTAGTACAGCAAACCTGAAGGCTTGCTTTACCTCCTGTTCTTACCCTTAATGTTTTTCAGAGAAATGTTTTTGAGAAGACCAGAAAATATCCGAGAATTTGCTGCAGGTAAGTAAGGCAGCGTCAGTTTGGGGATTCTGACAAAACCAGTGCAGGAAGTATTGTTGTGGATTTAGACCCAGACAAGCCCAGGATTCTCCTTGTGGAGTCTAAGGTACTTCATCCTTTGTCCCCTGTGGGAGCTTTGTTCAGAAGGCCTTTTCCTCTGTTGTCATTTCCTCAAAATGAGGACAGATAAGAAATGAGGCAGAACTTCCTAATGGTGAAGATTGTTAAGAATTTTGAGATTCCCAAAGGAACCTTCTGGCAGCGCTTTTGCTGGGAATCTTAAAGCTGGATTTTCATCCTGGCTGCACATTAGAATCACCTGGGGAGCTTTTGAAAAAAAATACCAATGCCCAGGCCCCACCCCCAGAGAGTCTTATTTAATTAGTGTGGGGTGGGGCCCAGCCTACTTAGTCTTAAAAGACTCCCCAGGTGATTCTAGTGGGCTCTGCTGTCCGAGAGAGATGCTGGAGAGAGATGCTGGGTGAGTGATTTCTTGGGTCCTGTTACTCCTAGGAGTTGGTTGTGTTTTGAAACCATTTCTAACTGCACCTAATACGTCTTTGCTACCACAACAGATGCTGCCTCTGATTCACATTGTGCAGGGTGTATGAAACGCCTCTTCTGTCATCATCTTGTGAGAGAGCCTGGCTGTCCTCTCAGAGAGGGCGTGATATCCCAGAGACAGGAGCTGGCGAGCAGAGCAGAGACAGGAATAACATTTGGCATTTTGCAGAGGGGCGGGGGACTAAGATGGCCTAGGAGTCGCAAACCCAGAGAATCCCTCAGCTTTCTGATGCTCAGTGTGCGTCAGCAAGCAGACCAACAAGCCTTCCGTGTGAGCCGGTGCTGGGAACACTTGAGCTGGCAGGTGTGGGCAGTGACCATGGGGATTTGCTGTGTGACATCTCATGTTACTTTGTAAAGCAGGGCTACCAGTGTTAGTCCTGCCAGGACCAACTCATCCTAACTTTTCGCAGAGTAAGCATCTTCCTCCTAGACGTTTTCCCTCGGGTTTAGATGATTTCTTCTTTTTGATTCTTATCCCAGACTATTTCACGGATCCAAGACTTCCCAACAAGATTCACATGCAGCTAATTAAGGAAAAGAAAGCAACTTAATTAGCCAAATCATGATGTTCAGTTGTTGGGAGAGGCCCAGAAGGAATCCAGGCGCGGGGTAGGTGTTGACCTCACTTAGAGACAGACTTGTTCACGCTTGTGAAAATTAGCACTGGCTTTCTGGTCCAGGATGTGGAAGAAAGTGAGCAGAGAAGCTGGTGAGCAATTCAGAGCAGATGTTTTCGCAACACTTTGTGTGTGTGTGTGTGTGTGTGTGAGTGAGAGAGAGAGAGAGAGAGAGAGAGAGAGAGAAATAGGGACTGTAAGGAGCCCTGGTGTGGGCTATGTAGGATAAGCACTGGACCACAAAGTCAATTTGAACTTCAAAGTCAGTGATTCAAATTCACCAGCTGCTCCTCTGAAACCCAACTCATATACAGGGTCATTATGAGTAGGAAATGACTGGATGGCAGTAATAAATCAATCGGACTGTACAGAGTGGCCAAGGGTGTGTTCAGTAGGTCAGCTGTTCTGTTTCAACCTTTAACCTGGTGGTGGTTATGTGCCCTGCAGTCAGCTCCAACTCATAGCAAGCCTGTATAGGGTGTCCGAGGCTATAAATCTTAATGGGGGCAGAAAGCCTCATCTTTCTCCCTCAGGGCTACTGGCAGTTTCCAGCGCATACCCCTGAGGTTAGAAGCTTGACTCGTAACCATTATGCTATCAGAGCTCCTTGTTTTAACCTAGTGAAATGGATTAAGAACCAGGCAATGGGAGTAGCTGCAGGATAAAGAGCCACAGGAAGCGGGGATGGGAGCCCCAGCTTTTGCTCTCTCAGTGTTTCTGCGGGTGACCTTTACCTTAGGTGGGAGGAAGGGGCTTCCTGTTGCTTCTGGAGGAGGTGGGAGCAATGTCCTTTCTTGCATCTTGGGTTGGGCACTTTCCTGCTCTGTTTGACTTTGTTGCCTTTAAACCAGGCTGTGCTATTAAGGCCATCACACATTTCTCAGGCAGGAGGATTTTGAAATGATTTTGAAGGCTAGATTTTTTTTTTTTTTCTCCCTTATCATGTGAAGTGGGAAGAAGCCACACTCCTAATTTAGCAGAACTGTTTCTGTTTTTCAGGGTCATCTGGAAGCCAGTGAGCCTTTGCTGCCATCAGTGTGGGTTTCCAAGCTGCTTGGGACTCTGTCTGCTGTCACAAAGGCTTTTAAACAGATTCATTAAAAACGGTCCTTCCTGCTCTCCTGGCTTTGTTTCACTCAGACGCAGAAAGACATCCTACATGGAGGGGGATTGGGGAGTGGGGGGCTTCTCTGGCCCCACTCTAACTAGCCCAGGGCAGCTAGCACTATAGTACTGTTCCCCCTGCCCCTCCAGCCTACTCCTTTCTAGAACCCAGACTGGCTGCCCTGCTGGGAGGACACAGAGCAGGGCCCCCTGGAGGGTTCCATACAGGAACAAGCAGGGTCTGAGCTTCAGTAGTGGCTTGAGACTTTCCTCTTCTTACCTTCTGGGTTACTATAGGAAGGCTGGTGACTAATTTTTATTTCTAAAGAAGCAATAAGAAGAGGAGCTGAACTGGGCTGGAAGGAAGGGACAGCAAGAGAGAATGAGACTAGTCATAGAAAATCCATCCAGGGTCATGAATACTGTGAAATCGAAGGGTGTGGATTTTCTTCTTGAGGGTTTTCAAGAACAGGCTGCCCATCCATTTGTTTTCAGCCAAGAAGCAAGGGAATGGGTCAGATGGGCTGACGGGGAGACTTGGAAATCTGTGTTTCTGTTCTACTTCTGTGGGCTCCACTGTAGAAAGAAACCTCTCACCTTTGTGTCACTTGTCTGCATCCCCATGGCAACAGAAGCATAGACCAAAGCAGGGGTTGTATTATTTCCCTTGTCTCTGCCTGCCTTGTTCCCAGCTGCTGTCACCTGCAGTAGTAGAAAGGGCAGCAAAGCAGAGTGCCTAAAGAACTATTAAACCTCTGCGAATACGAAGGAACCTGAGGAGTTGTTCTAAGTGCTTTCAGAATCACACCTGGCAGCTCTGGCAATGACAATGAGCTAGCCTGTTTACAAAACCCAGTTGAAGCCTTCAGCACAAATACACCTATCTCTTAAGGACTTCTGCTGTGAGGTATTGTATTAAACTCTTCTTAGAACCTGTCTTGGGAGAAGAAACTTGCAACTGTGGAGAACAGTGTTTTCTGAGATGCTTGAGAGCATGATTTAGTGCTGTGAGAATAAGGTGGGCCATTCTTGGGCAGAGGAATTTCCTGGTACAAATGACAGCTTAAAATACATTGCAGGGCCTCACCGTCCTGACTCGTGAGTGAATCTAACACACAGTCCTACTGCATCTTTGAGGAGATGGGGCTTCTTTTCTCCCATGCCTTAGCATGCAGTATCTTCAGTGTCTTATCTGAATAGAGCCCTGGTGGTACTGTCGGTTAAGCATTGAGCTGCTAACTACAAAGTCAGTAGTTTCAACCCAGCAGCCACTGCTCTGTGGGAAAAAGATGAGACTGACTGCTCCCATAGATTTGCAGTCTCAGAGACACCAAGGAGCAGTTCTACTCTGTTCTAGAAAGATGCTATGAGTCAGAATTGACTTGATAAGCAGTGGATTTTTTTTTTTTTAACCTGGATGGTGTAGGGGTGGTGGTGTTGGTATTTATGTGAGGGCAAGGACCAAATCTAGAATGCTAATGTGGCCATTGTGTTCACTTTTGAAGCCCCAGCTCACAGCAAGTGTCTGCACACAGCATTTGTGGAGAATATGAATGAATGCATAATTGAATGACCAATCACATTATAATACATTAGTTGTTGTAGTGGCAACTATGTGCCCATGGTAGATGGATCTACATGATACAGAGAGAGATGGAAGGAAGCACACCAGGTCTGCCTACGGGGAGTGGCTCAGGTCATGTGACAGATGAAAAAGGCTTTACCAGGCAGGTGGGAAGGAAAGAGGGGGAGTCATCAGAATAGCTCAGCCAGCTTCAGTTCTCTTGAGCATGATGGTAGGGCAGACTCTGTCACCTGCGCAGCCTCACTTTTCCTTTCTTCCTTGCTAGCAGAACCCTAGTTTTGTTCTGGCCAGCAGTGGGTTTAGCCCCAAGTAGTGGATCGTGGTTGATCTGAGCGAACCATAACAATCATGTTCCCTGACTTTCCAGCTCTCTTTGCAGCTAGGAGCAGCCATATAAAAGGGTGCTGGGGGTTTCTAGGAAAGCTGTTGCTTTCTTAGGAAAAAAACAAAAAGCATGGTGATCGGGAGGACCGATGGCTAAGCCCTCCCTTTTCCTGATTTGAACTTGAACATAATGTGTGGAGCTGAATAGCCATCTAAAGACCATAAAGTACAGACATGAGGATGAAAGCCAGCCACCTGCTGAAGTGGAAGAGAGGAAAGATAAGGGGCCCCATGACATCTTTGGGCACCTGCCCCTGAACAGCCCGGCAATCACCTACCTTCAGGCTTGTTGAAAAGTGAGAAAAATAAATCTCTTTTGTTTTTAAATTAGACCAGAGTTCATATCCTGATCCACCACTTAACAAGGTGTGTGGCATTGGGCAAGTGACTTAACTTCCTTAAGGAGCATGAGGTTTCTCACCTATAAGAGGAAATTTGTAGCTATCTCTCTGGATTGCTTGGAGTAGAGACAAAGAATGAGCAGTGTTGGCACATGGAGCCATTCAGGAAGGACTGTGGGGAGGTGTATCAGGACTGTGGAGAGAAGAGGCCAGGCAAGAAGGTGTGGCAGGCCCATGGCAAAGGGTTCAGTGTACTACACAGGAAACAAAAGGCTAAATTTGTACCATGTAGGCAATGGAGAACCAGTGAAGAATGTTAAGCCAAGAGGAGTTCCTGAAGAGATTTGCATTCAGAAAGTGTGAATGTGTGGAAGATGAATTAGAAGAAACGTAGAGGAGAAATGGAAAGACCTAGGGAGAGCATTGCAACCATCCAAGTCACCACCATCTCTCCACTTCACCTCTGTAGTCATATCCCACCCAATCTCTAAGCGGGGGCTCTTGCTCACTACATCAGTTGAGACTGTATTTAGCTACAAGTAACAGAAAACCTAATTTGCATTGGCTTTAACAGGGAGCTACTTTTCTCACTTTTCTAAAAAGCCTGGCAGTGGGCAAGATTCAAAGGTTTAGTGACGTTGACTACTATCCAGACAGGCATGTCTCTTTTCACAGTCTTAGCCTGTCTCCTCAGGATTGCAAGGGGGGCACCTGAATGCTCACGTACCATTTCTGTGCTCCAGCAGGGAGAAGGGTAGAGAATCATACTGGCTGAGTCTGCCCCTTTTTATAAGGAAAAACAGGCTTTCCTGGATGTCTACCTGACCTATGTCTTTCAGGCCAGAACAGGGTCATGTGGTCCACCCCAAGCTCAACAGAGACAGAGAAAGGGAACATTGAATTCTTCCAGCTTCTAGAGCAAAAAACTACAAAAGAAAAGGAACTTGGGAATAGCTGTTGGGTCAGTTCCAAAGCAGTATCTGCCCACCTGCACCCCCTAACTCATTCTCCACATAACAGAATGATCCTTTATAGGAAACCTATATCATTGTATGCCATTCCCCTGCCTAAAGCCCTTTCATAGTCTCTCACGTACTTAAAATCAAATCCAGATGGTCTTCCAGAGGCTGCAAAGCTGAGCAAGATCCCTACCACTTCTCAGACTTTCTCTTACCACTGCTTTCACCTCCCAACTCTGTGCTCCAGCCACATCCATCTTTTCTCAGTTCCCGAATGTGTCAAGGTAGTTCCGACTTTAAGGCCTCTGAACTCTGCCTGGGTTTCTCTTCCCCAGATTGTCATATGGCTTGTGGTCCACCGTGCTCTCTCTGCTGAAACGAAGAGAAATTCTGCTAAATAGCTTTAACAAATAGGGCTTGCTTTTCTCATCTAGGTGGATAAGCACTCACCTACTACCAGAAGTTCTGTGATTCGGACCTACCAGCCTCTCTGAGGGAGAAATATGTGACAGTCTTCTGTAAAATTGTATAGCCTTGGAAATCCTATGGAGCAGTTCTGTC